CCTGTTCCCTTGTGGGGAGAAGGAATTGTCTGGGGTGGACAGGCTCTGAGGAGTAGTGGGGTCTGTTTGTTTGAGATCAGGGGAGGGGCAGTCTCCATTCTCCGGGGGCCCTTATGGTGCAGGTCCCTGGCTCCCTGCGAGAAGGTGGGGTGGCAGTGGGGAGGGGGTCTGGAGCACTGCGGCTGGCTGTGGACCTCACCTTGCACGCGGAACAGCAGAGTCAGTACTGTGATAGTACTCTCTGTCACTGGAGGTATCCAAGCAGAGATCTCTGTGAGGGTTATTGTAGGGAGGATGGTGGGAATTTGGGTCCTTCCAAGGAAGACAGTCTGTAACTTCTGAGGTAAATGGGAAGGTCGTCTTGATGAGGGCTACTCTAGAAGAAATGAAATCTGCTGACCCCTTGATCTTGGACTTCCCGCCCCCAGAACAGTGAGAAGATAAACTGTTGTTTAAGCCCCCAGTCTGTGGTATTTTGTTATGGCAATCCTAGCAAAGTAACACGCTATCCTTTTGTGACTTTTGTTTCACTTTGCATAGCATTTTCAAGGTTTAGCCACATGTTGTAGCATACCTTAGTATTTCTTCTGCTTTTTTTTTAAATGACTGAATAATATCCCATTGTGTGCATGGACCACATTCGATTTATTCATTCATCTTCTGATGGATACTTGGGCTTTTTTCACCTTCCGGCTGTGGTGAGTCATTGGCTGGGTGTACAAGGACATGTTTGAGTGCAAACAGGGCGTCTTTAAATCAGACGCAGTCAACCCTTTAAGCAGAGCTGGGCTCACCCTCCCTGTCTGCCTGACTGGGGTTCCTCTGGTTTCTCTGACCCTCTCTCTGTTCCCCATGTGCCACGCCCCACCCCTGCCTTCCACCCCTTCCCTGACATGCTAACTCCTTTCCCCCACCATGGATGCCGTTCACTTGGTTGATGGGAGAAGCACCAGGTTTGTGAAGTGGACAGATCTGGGCTCAAGCCCAGCAGCTCTGTTCCTAGCTGGTGACCCTGAACAAGTCCCTTCAGCCCAGAGCCTCGGGCTCCTCTGTGAGGTGGTGACATCCACCTCCCATCCCTCAAAGCCCCCGGTAGAGCGGGCGCCTCCTTGGTTCAGATGTCCTTTTCTCTCCCATGACCAAACGAGGCCCCCTCCCTCACAAGGAGGCCCCCCCACCCCGCTCCCCAGCCATGAACACGGGTTGGAAAACTTAATGTTGGTGTGTCAGTCGGGGTCCCTGAGAAACAGCCAATGGGATCTGTGTTTACAGAGGGGGCCAGAAAGTTAGAAATCCCTGGGAAGGGCAGTAGCTGGAAGTCAGGTGCGTGGACTTCGCAGTCTGAAGGCAAAACTCCCTCCCCATTGCGGGACCTCAGTCTTGCTGTTTAAAGCCATCAACTGATTGGGTTAGACTCACTCACATCAGAGAGGGTGATCTGCTTGACTCAGGCCGGGGATTTAATTATTTTTAAATTATTAATTTATTTATGTTTGGCTGTGTTGGGTGTTCATTGCTGTGTGCAGGCTTTCTCTACTTGCAGCAAGTGGGGGAAACTCTCTAGTTGCAGTGAGTGGGCTTCTCATTGAGGTGGCTTCTCTAGTTGTGGAGCACAGGCTCTAGGGCATGCAGGCTCAGTAGTTGTGGGGCATGGGCTTAGTTGCCCCTCGGCATGTGGAATGTTCCCCAGACCTGGGATCGAACCCATGTCCCCTGCCTTGTCACGCGGATTCTTAACCATTGGACCACCAGGGAAGTGGGAAGTCCACGGCTGCAGATTTAAATGTTAAGCACGTCTGAAAAGCACTTGCACAGCAATATCTACACTGTTGTTTGACCAGCAACGTGGTGTCATGACCTAGTCAGGTTGACACACAACCCGCTGCAACTGATACCTTATCAGTTCTCTTCAAACCAGTCTACAGATTGATCATAATTCAGTTAAACTCCAAGAAGACTTTTAAAAAACATCTGACAGGCTGATCCCCAAATTCATGTAGAATAGTCAAAATGACTTTAAAAAAGAATATCAAAGTTGGAGAATTCATACTACCTATTTTCAAGATTTATTAGGAAGCCACAGTGATCAAGATAGTGAGGTATTAGTGAAGGGACAGACACATAGCTCAAAGGAACAGGATATAGTCCAGAAATAGATTCTTACATATATGGTCAATTTTAAAAATAAAAAACTTTTTTTTTGGGTCCAAGTTGTTTGGCATGTGAGATCCTAGTTTCCTTACCAGTGATGGAACTTGTGCCCCTTGAAATGGAAATGTGGAAAAAAAGAAAACGAAATGGAAGTGTGGAGTTCTAACTATTGGACCACCATGGTGTCCACATATATAGTCAGTTGATTTTTTAAAAACAAGATGCAAAGGCAATTCAGGGTTGCTAAGATGGTAAAGAATCTGCCTGCAGTGTGGAAGACCTGAGTTTGATCCCTGGGTCGGGAAGATCCCCTGGAGAAGTGAATGCCAACCCACTCCAGTATTCTTGCCTGGAGAACCCCATGGACAGAGGAGCCTGGGGGCTACAGTCTATGGGGTTTCAAAGAGCTGGACATGACTGAGCAACTAACACTTTCACACTTCAGGAAAGTCCTTTTCACAAACAGTGCTGGAACACCTGGATATCCATTTGTTAAAATCTAAAGTTTGGTCCAGTCTTGCAACATATTAAAAAAAAAGCAGAAAATGGATTATAGCTAGAAATGTAAAACCTGAAACTACTGTACTTCTGGAGAAAACAGGAAAAAAATCTTTATGACCTTGGGTTAGGCAAAGAGTTCTTAAGTATGACACCAAAGGTGTAATTCATAAAATAATGCATTGATCAATTGGACTTTATAAAAATTAAGCATTTCTGCTCTTTAAAATACACATATAAATGAAAAGATAAGTTGCAGACTGGATAGGGAATATTTACTAATGTTGTATCTGATAAAAAAGACATAAAAAATGGGGAAATATTTGAATAGGTGCTTCATCAAAGATGCACCAAAGAAGTGGATGACAGATACAGATACACGGGAACATGCTTAATATCATTAGTTGTTAGGAAGGTGCAAATTAATACTACAATGTGGTATCACTACACACCTGTAAGAATCACTAAAATCTGAAAAACAGACCATACCAAATATTGGTAAGGATGTGGAGTAACTGGTGGTGGGATTATAAAATGGTATGATCATCTTAGAAAAAAGTTAAGGTGAAGAGGAGTGAATTAAGAGTTTGAGATAACATATACGCACTACTGTATATAAAATAGATAACCACCAAGGACCTACTGTATAGCACAGGGAACTGTGCTCAATATCTTGTAATAACATATAATGGAAAAGAATAAAAAAATTTTTTTTTTTGCCGTGCTGTGCGGCATGTGGGATCTTAGTTCCCTGACCAGGGATCGGATCCATGACCCCTGAGGTAGAAGCCTGGAGTCTTAACCACTGGACTGCCAGCAAAGCCCAACTCCTAGGTATTTACCCAAGCAAAATGAAAGTGTATGTCGTAATGAATTGTATATAGATGTTTATAGAAGCTTTGAAAACTGAAAGTCTCTCAACAGGTGATGGATAACAAATTGGGGTCCATCCAGGCCATGAAATACAACTCAGAATCAAAAGGAGTCAACTATTCATATGGGCTACAACATGAAAATGTCTCAGTATCATTATACTATGTGAAAGAAGCTAGATAAAAAAGAATGCAGATGGGATGATTCCATTTATATCAAAATCTAGGAAATGCAAACTAATGTATAGTGGCAGGAATCAGATCAGTGGTTGCCTGGGAAGGGGTAGGCATGCATGCATGCTAAGTCGCTTCAGTCATGTCTGACTCTTTGCGAGCCAGTGGACTGTAGCCCGCTAGGATCCTCTGTCCTGCAGGATTCTTGAGGCAAGAATACTGGAGTGGGTTGCCGTGCCCTCCTCCAGGGGCTCTTTCCGACCCAGGGATCAAACCTGTGTCTCTTACGTCTCCTGCACTGGCAGGCGTGTTCTTTACCAGTAGCATCACCTGGGAAGCCCTGGGGGGGCAGGTAGGAGGGGGTAAGAGGGAGGGACTGTAATGAACGTGAGGACAATTCGAGAGTGGGAAATCCGTTTGTCATTTTGATTGTGGTTCTGTACATGTGTGGAGATATATCGAATTGTACACTTTGAATACATTGTTTGCTGTGTGGCCATTGTGTCTGATAAAACTGTTTTAAATGGGCAGTGCGTGAAAGATGCCACCCAGACTTGCGTCCTTTCCCCCACGGCCAACGGTCACTCCCACAGGGACGCCATCCCTTCTAGAATTGACTTTCAGGGGGCCGTCATGTGCCCCCAGGAAAAGTGCATCAAGTAGTGTGTTGCAGAAGTGCTGCTGGACAGGGACCGGTCCATCCAGGCTCCGCCCGACCACACGGCATCCGACGTACCTTTTCCCTCCCGTCAGCATTCTGCCTGTTCCAGGGGCCGGGGAAGCTGAGGCTCCTCGCCATCGACCTCAGAGGTCAGAGGTCGGGGGCTTTCCTCAACTGACCATCAAAGCGCTACCCTCCTGACCTTCGGAGAGGGGCTCAGACGTGTGTCAGTGGCTGCCGTCTAATGGGCCCTTGGTCCACAAAGCCGAGGTGTGTGAAAGTCTGCTCACACGGACTTCAGCTCCCGTGATTGCAGATGCTGAGAAGACTCAATCCCTGACTCCCAGACCTGACCCAAAAGGACGCCCCACGTTTTCTCTGCTATACACTGCCCGCCCCAACCCTGCGACCCCTGTCACGTGACCCTGGCGCTGCCGCGGGAGAGGAGTCAGCCGGGCCCTGCCTTCCCTGCGGCAGCTGGCGCTGCAGGCGCAGAGCAGCCTCCGCGGCCTCCGGGGTCCGCGCCGCTGGCCCATCACGTCTGCCCAGTTGCCCTGGTGACTGTGTGACCCTGCCACCCGCCCCCGCCGCCACCTGCCCTATAAATAGAGGCCCGGAGCAGCTGGGCTCTCTTGGCAGTCACCATGAGGGCGCTGGTCCTGCTCTGCTGCTTCGTGGCCTCGCTTCTGCTCCCAGGACAAGCAGGTACGACCCCCAGCCTGTTGGGCAGGCCAGCCTGTGACCCCACGTGCCCCCGAGGTTTTCTGTTTCCGGTGGGGTGGGGGGGCTAGGGCAGTGGACAGAGGCTGAGGCTTCCGTGGCTCCTGGAGCTGATGGCAGCCCTTTGCCTCCCGGCTGGTCTCACTGAGAAGGCACTGTGTGCGGAGACCTGAGAGCAGTCAGGGGGCCGGTGGGGAGGAGGCCCGTGGGGAGGAGGCCAGAGGGAGCGGAAGCCGTGACCTGAGGGGTGCAGGCAGGTGCAAGGCCCGAGCAGGGGGCCGGGGAGAACGGCCGGCCGGTAGATGGTAGGGCAAGAAGACCCCAAGACTGGAACCTCCTAGGCGGACAGAAGACCCTGCTCTTGGAGGTGGAGGGAACCCCTGGAGGTCACTGAGTTGACCCTCCCACCTGGTGGAGATGGAGGGGTGCCTGGCTTTGCATGAGTGAGGGCGGGTGGCAGGGGGCATGGCTTAGGAACAATGGGACAGAGGGGGGCTCAGTTTGGGGCAGGATTGGAGCAGAGAGCTGGAAACCAAATTGGGCATGGTTCAGAGGAGGACCGGGACCCAGTCTGGAGTGGAGCTGGGCTGGGCCGGGGGCTTCACTGGAAGGGGGCTGGGGCCCACGTGCCGTGGTTTTCCTGTGACATCTCAGCACTGTGTGGCAGAGGCAGTGGTTCTGGTTACAGCTTGGGGGCTATTTATAGGTGTGGAGGGGGCACCGGAGCATGTTGCCACCTCTGTTCCCGAGATTCCTGGGGCTAAGTGCCCCTCCAAGATGCTTCAGGGGTGCCCTGGGGACCCCGCAAATGTCCAAGAGTCCTGCTTTGCCTTTTCATGACAACTGTAGGCTTCATCTGCGCTGGGGACCATGGGGCCTCGGGGGTTCTCTTTCTCGAGGTCTTAGACGCGGACGGGGGAGCCCATGGCAGGCAGGAGCAGAAGCCAGTCCTTCGGGGGCTGGAGACCGAGGCGGGGGGCTCCGGCCTCTCATGTGCGGCTGGGCCCTGCCCTTGTCTGCCCTTGAGTTTAATTTGGGCTCCGTGGGGCTGCAGTGGCCGGGGTGGTGAGGATTCCAAGCGGCTGTCAGGCGGCTAAGTATGGAAACAGCCGTGTAATCGGAGCCCGAGCCCGGGAGCCACTGCCGCCCTCTCCCCTGCGCCGCCCAGCCCCAGCTGCCAGCTCCGTGGCTTCCACGCTGCCGCCCCAGGAACTTTTAGCCTTTTAGGGACATCCTTTATCTTGCCTCCCACCAAGGGAACTGGACATCTGGAATGTCCCACAGGTCCTGTTGGGGGACCTCGCCACTGGGAAAGGAGGCAGGCAGGTGCTTTCTGCAAAGATTCTCTCTTTGCAGTCCTTTCCTTCCTGGACTCTGCGGTGTGCGCCCCCCTCGGCCCGGCCTGCCCACTAGTGTGCGGGGTCCCCGCCCTCCTCCCCGCTGCTCATGGCTTATGCTGTGCATTCTTCACAGCGGTGGGCTTCCTAACCCCCAGTTGCAGATTGTAAATCCCAGATGGCTTCCTCCTGCGATCCGGAGTAGGGGATTCCATGAGTGGCTTCCCCCACCCCATAGTGACAGTCCTTTCTACCGGCTGGCTTGCCTGTAGAGTATGCTACCAGTAAATGCCACCATGCCCACAGGCACAGCTTTGCTCCTGAACTTCCCACTCTCATGCCGAATCCTCATTTCCAGCCCCGTGTCGCTCACCCTTCCCTGGTGCCAGGCACAGCCTTCTTTCTAAGCCCCCTTCCTGCTTCCTGGGGGGACCCTGCAGAGCCGCCCTTCCTTTTTGTTTGCCCTCCTTGCTCCTGTTGTCCTCTGCACCAGGGTGATGGGCTCCACCACCTCCCCGACCCCCAATCCGCCCCAGTCCTTTGGAACCGCCAACGTCCTCCTCTTTGTCTTGGGGACCTGGGCTGGGGTCAAGCTTGCTTGAGGACAGAGGAAAACAGCCCCGAGAGGGTTTACTCAGTCTGCTCATGGTCCAGGTGAGCGAGCAAAAGCCAGAGGAAAGAACTATGGTCAAGGTCAGACAGTGAGTCAGGTCAGACACGCAGGGCCAGGGCCGGTCTCAGCCCACCCAGGAGTTCCTGGCCTCCTTTGGCCCCTCTCTCTGCAGTCCTCCTTGGACACCCCAGTTCCTCTGCCTGTGGGTGTGGGGCCACGCGTGGCTGCCTTGGGGTACAGGGCAAGACCAATGCCTTTGAACTTTGACTTCCCAGAGAGCATGTGGGAATGGGGGTGCTGGGAACACATTTCTTTGGGCTTAAACTGCTGGTGTTTGTTAGGCTGAATTCAGGACAATTCCTGTTACCTGCTGGAGGCAGAGATTGAGGGACGACAGGGGGTCTGAGTCTGCTCCTCTACTTCCTCCAGCCCAGCCCTGGTTTGCACACTCACCCCGTCTGCTCTGGCCTCACCCTGCTATCCCAGTGGTGAGAGGTTGGTGCATGCTGGGGCTCCCAAGGCCCTCCAAGAGCAGTGGGTGTCTCTCAGGAACCCCTTCGTGACATTTCCTCTCCCACCCAGAAGGAAGTGGTTTTCACAGCCCCTCAGGGTACCCCAGGTGCCATGATGCAACTGTGGGGAGGGCTCGGAGAGAAGGTCATGAGTTGGGGGGTCCTGGGGAGGGAGTAGACTCCAGAAGCCTCTCCAGCATCTCCCCCTGCCACAAGCTATGTCCCCAGTGAGGTCTCCAGCTCCTGGCGCGGTGCCGCTGGATGAGCCGTGGGGAGCAGGTGGTCCACCACTTCCCACATCGGGTGCATGAGCGCTAGTCTGGATCTGCTCAGTGGATGCAGCCCCCCGATGTGGGCACCAAGCCTGGTGGTCTGTGGGACCGCGGTTTGGAAAATGCGGGCTTTGCCTCCCACGTGGGTGTTTTGCAGTGAAGCTCACACTGCTCAAGGGCCAGAGCTGGAATCCTGGACCAGAGTGGGGTCCAGTGAGGCTGGCTGCATCCACCTGGCCTTTGGGCGCTCGCTCAGGTGTGGCCAGGAGGGAGCCTGGTCCTTGTGGACCGTTCCTCTGTTGATCTGGGCTGAGGGATCAGGACAGGGCATAGATACAATGCCTTCTGATCTGGAAGGAGGGGTGTGGCTGGAAGGGGGGGTGAATGGGGTCTGCCACTATGGGGTGCGCCCCTCTACTCCAAATCCAATCTAAAGCCAGACTCACCATCCCTTCCATTTAAATACTGCTCAAGGATGCAAAACACTTTGATTCAAACACCTCCCTTAAATCATCCCGGATCTAGTGTGTACCAGCTGGTTCGCAGGTATGGTGCCGAGGGAATGCAGATAGGCATTTTGTGCCTGGCACGCTTACAGTCCAGGGTCGGGGGAGATAGGACGTCCTCCCCCTTGTGGCTATGCACACACAAAGAAGACACATGCGGTACTTAGGAAGGTCCAGGTAAATGGGGTGGGGTGGATGGAAGTGCGTCTGAGTGGACAGGAAACGTCTTCCAGGTGAGGGACTGTCTGAGATGGGCCTTAAGAAGCACAGGGTTCAGAAGAGAATGCCGAGGAAAAGCAGGGATGAACACATCAGGGAAGGTGGGGCTCAGGCGAGACCCAGGAGGGTCACGGGGAGGAAGGGTGTGGTGGGGGTTGTGGGGAATCTGGGAGGCTGGATTGGGGCCAGAGTGTGAGGGGAACTGGGCTGAGGAGGGGGCTTTGCTCTGTGGGTGGCAGGTAATCACGGGGTGGGGGGAGGTTTGGAAAAGTGTGTCTGGCAGTTGTTTGTAGGGAGGAGTAGACCAAGCTGGGATGATGTGTACTCTGGCGAGGGAGAGGGATGGACTGGAGGGCAGGCCCCACTGCAGCCCCCCCCGAGATTGATGCTAGGGAACAATCTGCTGGACCCCTCAGCCTGGTGAGCTGAGCGGGAAGGAGCCCCCGAGGGTTTCGTGTAGGCCACTGCAGACAGAACCTTGCCAGAAAAATGAGAAGAGACCAGGATTGTAAAAGAACCAATTTTTAAAAGGTCACCTGAAATCATTATGAATTCTGGGTCCTGGGGGAATGCCTGGATGCAGATGGTTAGCTTAGGAGGAAGGTCAGGTCTGGGGATCCAGAAATGAGGCTAGTTTGGGAAAAGATGAGGACAAGGCTGTGAGATCACCAAGGATGCTGCTGCAGAGAGAGAAAAAGAAGAGAGTCCAGGACCAGTCCCCGGGGAGTAGGAAGAGGAAGAAGATAAATGGATTTCAGGAAGACGGGACGAGATCCAGGCAGAGGCGTGACCTGGCAGCGGAGGACAGTGTGCTTCCTGCAGAGGCTGTGAGTCCCGCGGAGAGGCCGGGGAAGGTGAGGCGTTGGCTTGGACACCAGGAGGCTGCGGACTGGTCCCTCAGTGAGGATGTGGAGGCATGCTTACTGGTAGAGACTTTCAACATTAAGTCTACAAGAGCTAGAGGACCATGAGAGAAGGTGGGGTGGCTGAGTCTGCAGAGGAGGCGGTATGTTCCTGGGCCGACAGGGAGGATGCAGAGGCGCGGGAAGGGTTGATGATCTGGGGGATGGGTTGGGCGTCAGAGTTTGAGAGCGAGGTGGACAGGTCGGAGGGGGTTTGAGGGGGGACCGCAGGGGACCCCCCGGGCACTCGAGGTTCACTCAGCAGTGCCTGTGTCCACCAGAGAGCTCAATGAGGAAGTGAGGATCCTGGTCTACAACAGGGGATTGCTACAGAGTGGGGTGAGGGCCATGGAGGGGAAGAACCAGTCAGAGCTGACCAAGAACCTCTTGAGGTAGAAAAGGACCAGTGGTCCTGAGATGTGTGGGATCAAACAGCAGGGCCCAGACCAGAGCCTGGTCTCCAGTCCAGCTGAGATGAGGCCAGGAGGTGGCCAGTGAATCAGCATTTTCGTCACAGCAAACGTTGGTCTCGCGCTGTTGGTGAACCATCCCTCTCGAGCCTTCAGATGCTGCAGAGAAGGGGGCAAAACCTGACGCCAAGCTCTGTCCCAAGGTGTTCATTCC